AAAAGCATTAAACTATTAAACCAACTTGATTAATTTCATGTCTTGATTAAAACCCTTAAACTATTACACCATCTTGATTAATTTTATGTCTTGATTAAAACCATTAGACTATTAAACCACCTTGATTAATTTTATGTCTTGATCAAAACCCTTAAACTATTAAACCAACTTGATTAATTTCAAGTCTTGATTAAAACCCTTAAACTATTACACCAACTTGATTAATTTCATGTCTTGCTTAAAACCCTTAAACTATTACACCAACTTGATTAATTTTATGTCTTGATTAAAACCATTAGACTATTAAACCACCTTGATTAATTTTATGTCTTGATTAAAATCATTAAACTACTAAACCAACTTGATAAATTTTATGTCTTGATTAAAATCATTAAACTATTAAACCAACTTGATTAAGTTTATGTCTTTATTAAAACTATTAAACTATTAAACGAACTTAATTAATTTCATGTCTTGTTTAAAACCATTAGACTATTAAACCAAGTTGATTAATTTTATGTCTTGATTAAAATCATTAAACCTATTTGATTAATTTTATGTCTTAAATTAAAACCAATAAACTCTCCCATCTATATTTTTGATGTTTTAGTCAAATTCTTTCTATCCATTGTTCAAGAAAAAGCTGCTTTAAAATAGACACTGTCCAGGAAAGAGGATCTGTTTAGGAAAAAGGAAGGTTGCCAGGAAAGAGAGAGAGGCAGAACAATTGAATTTATTGTGGAAAGAAAAAGTTCCCCTTTAACATTGTTTCGCGAAGTGATTAGGCCTCGTTAGACATGAACGGGGAAATCTTAGGGTCCCATATCCTTGTCACGTCCCCAAGTTTTCCCTCCATCTAAATTTTCTTGCCTTCCTGGACAATTAGGACGAACCCCCTTCGTTGACAAACTTGAACGATCTGTTCGGGACGCTTTTCTTCAGCAATCCAACATTGTTCTTTTTCCCGTGAAATTGCTATCATATTAGGAAGTTTAGGGTTGAATGTTATATTTTTGGTATTTATATTGAATTTATTTTAGTTTAGCTTGGGAATTTTCTTTCCATTGGATTTTGCTATGTAATTATAAAAGATTATTAAAAATATATTAAGTATTTAATTCATTTTATTAAGAGCATAATTTTATGCAAATGAATATACATTAGCGATTCGGACCATTTCTGAACTTTCTAACACACTCAAATCAACTTCTTGGCTAATGAAAATACCAGTTCCAATTATTTCCTGATTCTTACCGAAGTTACCTAAATTTTATCACCTAATAGAATTTGTACTAATTTTATAACCAAATAGATTTTATTATCAATTCTGTTCCATAAACTAGATTACTAAAATCTCATAGGCTGTGTGTATGATGGAAATAAAAAATTCAATAGTTGAACACTTTAAGAAGCATTTATAAATATTTTTTTGCCAAATAAAATTTATAGTCAATTGAAAATTCAACCACTTACCGAATATTAAGAATTTTGCTCAAAATTTCAACGGCAGCTTTGTGCCATTTCCCATAAACTAAAATATTTAAATCTCATAAGAAGCTGTGTGTCTAATGGAGATAAAACTTTCAATAGTTGACCACTTTTAGAAACCTTTATAAATATTTATTTTGCCAAATAAAATATAAAAATTTTATTCAATCGAATTTATAGTCAATCAAAAATTCAACCACTTTAGAGTTTTTCTCAAAATTTCAACGGCAGTTTTGCGCCATTTGACAAGTTACAATTCTTTCCTGTTAATGTAAGTAAAACTTATCCACAATTGAAATTTTGACCACTTTCTGAGAAACTTCCATCACTGTTTTGTTCTTTTTCCCGTTAAATTGCTATCACATTAGGAAGTTTAGGATTGAATACTATATTTTACATTATTCTCTTGAATGTTATATTTTTAGTGTTGATAGTGAATTTATTTTATTTTAACTTTGGATACTTTTTAATCATATTTTGCAATATAATTATAAAAGATTTCCAAAATTATAAGAAACTTTAGGGCTCTTAATAACGAAAATTTTATGCAAATAAATATACACTGGCAATTTTGGCCATTTTCGGATTATCTAAAACACTCAAATCAGCTCCGTACTTGATAATAGTACAAGTTTCAATTATTTCTTGACCACAGGAACCACATTTATCGAAATTTTATCGCCAAAAAGAATTTATTGCAATTTTATAACCATATAGAACTTTTTGTAATTTTATAACCAAATAGAATTTATCGTAATATTATCGCCAAATAGAATTTATCATCAATCAAAATTTTAAACACTTTCCGATGAACTAGAATATTCAAATCTCATCTGAAGCTGTGAGCTTGATGGTAAAAAAAGTTTCAATAGTTTCCAGAACGCTGCAAGAAGCATTTCTCGTCATTTATTTTGCCAAATGAATCTCAACAGCTTTCCAGTTAGAGCTCTGCTCAAGGGAGCTTTGTGCCATATGACAAGTTACAATTGTTTCCTAAAATGTAAATAAGACTTATCCTCACTTTCGACCACTTCTGAGAAAATAAACACACATATTATAAAACAGCGGAGTCTTAATAACTGCGATTCTTAGAAAATATTTCTTTGTTTGGCATACTTAAGAAGAAAAATGTATTGCAAATCATCTCCATAATAAACTTCCATCATCACCGCAAACCTCATACAGCTCACAAAAGATCCGACTTAAAATTTTTTCTTCCATGTCTAACAAAAATGAAATTATTTTCGTCTTCTATTCTTTGCTAATACCTAGTTTTAAAAGTTTTTATTTCATTATTAACTACCTACATACCCACTCTTTGTACGAGATAGAAAAATCAATTAACATATCAGTACTGAATGACACAACGAAATCGTGCGCAAAATTGAAAGACGTATACCAACACAATTAAAAAAGTTAAAATCATTCCCTTTTTTAAAAATTTATTATTATATTTTCTTCTTCCCGGTGGCTTTACGTTATTAGATTAAGCGAAACACGTTTTTTACAATGCTATTTTTTAATTAAATTAATAATAACAAATTTAATCAAGCATCACTGGCGTCAATTAGAGTATGGCGAATATTCCGTACGAATTAGTGCTATGTCTTTATTAGTTTTATTTTTCAATACATAAATTATTATTTTTTATTTCAAAAATATAATTTTGCGCCGTGATGGCTTTGGGGATAGAGCGTTCGCCTTGCCAGCGATGGCTGGTCGATACGAATTCTCCATCCGCCTTGCACCACTCATGACGTAAAATATCCTCAGTGGTAGACGGATCATGGGTTAGAGTCCCCTTGCCATCTAGTTAACCGTGGGCGGTTTTCATGGTTTTCCCCTCCATATAATGCAAATGCGGGTTAGTTTCATCAAAAAGTCCTCCTCGAAGGCAATTTTTTCCCAAAACTTGATCCGGGAGTTCCCTTGTCTTTTAGATTGGGTTCAAAATTACAAGGCTACGGAGTTGAACATTAGTAGTCTTAAACCCCAAAAATTAAATCAGCCGTTCAAGGATGATTATAAAATGAAATTCATAACTTTTTTAATAGCTTTATAGATTCGTGTTTTAAAAGCTCAACCATAAACAAAATAAACTCGCATTTTCTAACAATTTTAGAAATACTAGTTTGGTTACGAAATCCGCAAAAGCTATCCTGTTCATGATGATCATTGAGCTTCTCTGACAAAATGAATAAAAAATAAATAGATGATAAAGAACGTGCAAATAACTCCTATTTTTTTAATGCGCTAACATTAGCTAACAAAAATCACTGATGGCATCTTTATAATATTTTAAAGAACGAAAGTCGTCTGCAGCCTCATAGTTTATCAATGGCGAGTTCTAAGTCAATGAAACAATTCCTTTTTTCGTACGGTTCTACCAAACGAGATAATTGGAAAATTTCGAGCAAATTTTTGGATTTGGGGCTACATTTTAAAGAACATGCACATAACTCCATTTTTTTAATCAGCTAACATTATCTAGCAAAAATCACGGATGAAATCTTTAAAACATTAGCAGGAAATAAAATCGTCTGCATTCTCATTTTATATCAATGGCGACTTCTATGCCAATGAAACAATTCCATTTTTCATACGGTTCTACCAAACGAGCTAATTGGAAATTTCGAAGAAATTTTAAGATCTGGGGATAAATTTGCCTCTTTCAGCGGCTGGTTCTAATTTGAAGATAACTCCAGAACCCTTAGTTCTGGAGTTATCTGGAGTTACATCTCAAATAACTCAACTCCAGAACTAGCCTATAACCCCAGAACTAACGGTTCTGGTAGAAAAGACAAGCATTAAACAAAAACTCGACATTTTATTATTTTAGATAGATAACTGATCAAAATTGACTAATTTATTTTAATTTTAATATAAGAAACAAACATTTTAATCATCAGCATTGCTGATAATTTTTCTTCAACAGTCCTGCTACCAAATTTGTTGTGAAGGAAAAGGTTTGTAAACAGCTTCCTGATAATTCTAAAGATTCTGAAGTTGATTTTGCTGCGAGTTTAAAGCAATACTACAAATTTTCTCCCACTGTGAACTTCAGTGATTTAATGCGATCAAAATATTAGGAGAAAGTATTGTAGTAAATTTTTAATGTTATATAAATGCGAAAAATAACTTTGCTAAAATACTTTCTTTTATATTGCGTCATTTAGTGACAATTTAATGACAATTCTGAGTTAAGTGAAATTTCCGAAATTATGCCAATAACGAGTTTATTATTCCTTTACAATTAATTAAAACACCTACTTTTATAGTTTTAATATGTAAGTAGTGCTGGCGTATTAATATTACTTTTATGTTTAATATTAACAATAGTGTATGATAATGCTACTTTATTCACTACAATTCTAATTTGCTTTTATAAATAGTACCGCAATAATGTTATTTTAAGTGTGTGTTTAATAGTTTTCAGAATTTTTTTTTTGTAAAAGCTCTTTTTGTGTTTATAATTGTATTTTTTGAGATTTACTCAATTTTCTTTTTCGTAGGATCTTCCATCAGTGCCTACTCTTGACGTTGACTTTTGGAATTGTTACAATATCTGCTAAAAGATGGCGCAACAAACAGAATCGTCCAAAAGCTCCAAAAAATGCTACCGCACGTGGTAAAATAAATTTTTTTGATTCTTAATAATAAAACACAGCTCATTACTTATACATTTTTATAAACACTCTATATAGCTTAGTATACTGGACGTGATCTAGCAACTCCTTTTTTGTTTGCGATTTTTCTTCCTCAGATTTTCCTTTGCAGGACAATGTTCCAATATCGATGGCGCCTTTTCAAGAAATCATGTCTTAAAGTAATTTAGTGTTGAGTTAAAAAAGAAGAGATAACGAAAAAATTCTATTTTTCAGCTTATTATAGTGCAGGAAAATGTAAAAAAGAAAAAAGTTTCTCTTAAATGAGGTATAAAAATAAAAACGAATCGGAATTGGCATCCAAGTCAATTAGAGCGAAAGAGTATTTAAAATACTCTAAATGCAGTTTGTTCTAATATGCGTAATGAAACATCTTTTAGTCTCATTTTGCTAATTAACTTAGAGTTATTTTAATTCTTCTATAGTGGTTTGATCGACTGATTTTGATAACATTCTTTTTATTATTAAGTATTAGTTTGTTGTGCCTGGTTTTTTTATTTTATTATTTTATTTTCGCCAAAGGTTGATTCTAAAAGATAAATAATTTATTAGATTAGGAACGCGTGTGCATTTGAAAATGTTTCAATTTGGATTTGGATTCGTAGTGTAACTTGCGATGCAATATTTTAGGGGCAAGCCTGGATAAGTGGTCAACTCTTAGAAAAGAATCTGGTCAACTAACTAATACGTTTATTTATTAAGTATTAGTTTGTTGCCCCTGTTTTTTAGATTTTATGATTTTGTTTTTACCAAAGGTTGATTCTAAAATATAAATAATGTATTAGATTATGGAACTCAGTGTGTATTTGTATTTGGATTCTTAGTGTAACTTGCGATGTATTGTTTTAGAGGAAAACCTGGAAAAGTGGTCAACTCTTGGGAAAGAATAGGTTATTTTTTTCATTTCTTATATCATGTTTCAAAATTTAGATAAATATAATTAAATTTTTTAACATGAATTTAAAACCCTATTTCACAAATATCTCCCATATGTTAAGACTAATTACGAGAATGAATAAACAATTCGTTACACAAATTTAGCTTTATAACACAAAATTAGCACAACGTAGTTTCCGGTCAACTTATGAATTTGGTATAATATTCAATAATACATCTAAATAATAGACGGACTTCTAATATAACATAAATTGGTGGTAATATATCGACGGGTAGTCAGGTTACAAATTATTTGTTCCCTTTTATTATATAGAATCAATGCGATTCTTGTTAATATTGGTTACTTACACAGGTGGTCAACTTAACAGACTTTACTTCATTCAAAAAAGAATTTAAAATTTTTAACACTTTTCTAGATTATAATCGAAGCTTAAATAATAAAAATAGGGACAAGGTGCAGTTCTAATAAAGCTATTATTCGATTTAAACGCTAATATCAAATCTAAGAATTCGAAAATTTCATCGACTGTCAAACTTAAATGTTTGTTTTTTTAAAAGGTCATATTTTATGAATATTTCCATGCATCTACAATATTACGTTAAAGATTAAATTTTTCTTTCTATACTTCTGATATTCAAAAATATATATATTATGCCGTAAGCCGTGATAGCTTAGTGGTTAAGACTCTGAACTGCCATTGGGAAGAGTTTGGGTTCGATCCCTTCTGGCTGCTGGAAACCCACTCAGTTTCAAGTCGATGAATCGAATCATTTCTCTTCTAGAAAATAAAAGCGGCTGACGCACAATGCTGCCCACATTGCATTGCGTCACAAAGAGACTTAACCTCCATAATCTATCTGGACCACAACGAGCTGTTGCAGGAATACTTTACCTTTTTATTAAATCTTATATCTAATATATAAATCTAATCTAAGCAAGACTTAAGGTTAATTTTTGCACAGAAACTTTTTAAAAGGATTCTAAAACATATAAAGGGGGGTGATTTCGGTAAATTCAATTTTATGTGATAATTTAAGTTAACAATCGAATGCAAAGACTTTTTATCAAAAAAGACTTTCACATTTTTTTCCAAAACAAGTTTTTCAGAAGAAAGAAAAATCCCTCTCTAATACTTCAAAGATTTCTCGCCAATTTAGGATTTTACCCCTGACAAATGAAATATGCCATCGAAACGTACACTTTTATGATTTCCACGTGGAACAAAAACTCAAGAACAGAAAACTTCTCATAATAAAATCGGAGTATATAAATAGATTGTCCCTGATGAAATTGTTCTCTGTATCAGTTCAACACCCCCAATCTATCGAATCGAATAAAAAAAGATAAATCGAACAAGATAGTTCTTATCCATGATAACTTAACGAAGCGGTGTGCGAATGGCATCAGCTTGGGAGTTCCTTGGCACTTTCTTACGAGGTGCGACGATTGGGTTCGCCCCATAAAGAAGTCTACCCTAAAATGAACGGAAGCCCCAGGGCGTGAGTTTTATTCGCCCCTAGGGCGTCATGAGAGGGGATTGTGCACGATTGAATCTCAGCTACATTTCTGGTATCAGATTATCCGAGAGGTTGCAGTAGTTTGGAGATGGTTTAACAAACCCGTTCCGATAATTTGCGTGAAGTTGTATAAAACTTCAGTTAATCTAGTGACTTTCTTTACCTCTTCAGATCATCATTATACTGAAACTTCAAAAATGTTCTTTTTGTGAAAAGAAAACGATATTTTCAAAGATGGAGGGAAAAAAAGGACCAAGAAAATATTCTTTTTGAATTAATATTGCAGTTTTAATCTGAAATATATTGTATTTTAAACGTGATTAAATAATTTGCACGAGGTTATATAAAAGCTCAATTAATCTAGTGCGACTCTTTTTATCCATTCAGATCTTTATACTGAAATTCAAGAATGTTCTTTTTGAGAAAAAAATGACATTTTCAATGAAGGTGGGAAAAAAGGTTCAAGAAAACATTCTTTTTGAATTAATATTGCAGTTTTAATCTGAAATATTGTATTTTGAACGTGATTAAATAATTTGCGTGAGGTTGTATAAAAGTTCAGTTAATCTAGTGCGACTCTTTTTGCCCCTTTCAGATCATTATAGTGAAACTTCAAAAATGTTCTTTTTGTGAGAAAAAAACGATATTTTCAAAGAAGGTGGGAAAAAAAGTTTAAGAAAATATTCTTTTTGGATTAATATTGCAGTTTTAATCTGAAACATTGTATTTTGAACGTGATTAAATAATTTGCGTGAGGTTATATAAAAGTTCTGTTCTGTGAGTGACATTTTTTACCTCTTCATATTCTTATTCAGAAATTTCAAATTACAAACGATAAAGAAGCTGCAGTTTCAAAAAAGATGAAGATTGATGAAGGTTTTCTGTAAGCTTCAACTACATGCTATAGAAAATATTCTTTTTGAATTGATGTAAAAGTTTTAATTTGAAAGATTATTGTATTTAAAGATGATTATGCGAACGCGTTTTGGTTGAGCGAGGTTGTCAAGCTTTTTCTTTACTGAGTTCAGTTAATCTAGTGACATGTTTCACCCCTTTACTATCTTATTCTGAAGTTTTAACAATGTTGTAAGCAGACAAAATCTGCATTTCCTAAGAGGGCAAAAAAGAATATTTCATAAAACTTTAATGTAACGAATGTCTTAGAAAATATATTTTGGGATATTATTTTTCCTTCATATTCTTATACTGAAGTTTTAATGTTGCATGCAGGGACAATGTACATTTTCTAAGAAAACAGAGAAAGAATTTTTCATAAAGCTTTAATGCAATGTTTATGTTTTAGAAAATATTTTTTGGAATATTATTTTTCCTTCATATTTTTATTATGAAGTTTTTACAATGCAGGAAACATCTACATATTCAAGGAAGACTAAGAAAGAAAATTTCATGAAGCTTCAACGCACTGATAAAAAAAATTTTTTTATGAAATATTATTTTTCGTTCATATTTTTTCCCTCATACTGAAATTTTAATAACGTTCTATTCACGAACAGTTTACATTTCCTAAGAAGACAAAGAAAGAATATTTTCATAGAACTTCGATGATCTGTCTTAGAATTTCTTTTTAATTAATATTGCAGTTTCAATCGAACATAAATAAAACACGCAGGTTTTTATTTATAATGCAACTTTGGAAGAAAAAAAAAAGATTTTTGTTGAAAATTTCTCACAATTTATGCATTTTCAATTGCTTGTAAACATGTTGTTCAATTAGAAATTTTCAATATACGGTCTGACTTGCATTAGAGTATGTTTAAGCACACTTTTATTTGAATTTCTTTCTTCTAAATTTAGATCAATTGCTTTTCAACAAAGGTTAAAGAAAATTAATGACCTATCTCAACTCGGCATGAATTTAAAGTAGTTCCTCAGCTTTTAACAAGATGAGGACGGAATTTTTTTTAAAAAGGAAAGGAGTTTAAGTAATAAAAAAAATAATTTTGTACAACTTGCTTTTAAAAAAAATTTATGGAATTTAGACTTCATTTTTTGTTTCTGAGTTTTAGTATTTTGTAAGAATGTGTGTGTGTGAGGATTTGAAAGATCATAAAATTTTACGACATCCATTATTGTTCAATAACTTGTTTTTTGTTTAAAGTTGTATTTGTAAAGTGTTTTTAAATGTGATCATTAAAGATATTTTTCAATTTCAAGGTCAACGAGGGGTTTGAGTACATTGGATATTTGTTCATTTCAAATCAATAACTCATAAATTGAAGAGAAATAACTGTATAATTCTGAAATATTTTTTGCCGTTCTCTTTTTATCTCACCGAATTCTATAAGAAAAGTTTTGAATATTTGACTTTTTTATTATGTTTCTAAACTGTTAACCTCCTTTTATTGCTAGTGTTTAGTTTAGTAATTACTCATTTCATTTTCTGATTCAATTTTTTACGACTTTTACCAAGCACGTTGTTTTGCCAAGAGAGGACCTGTAAAAAAAATTTGAGTAGATTTTTGAGGCCGTGATTCATATTTTTTACAGTAAAGGGTCTTTAATTTTAATAACTGCAAATTCTTATAAG